CAACTCGCAGCAACCGTCACTAAACGGTGTGCAGGCGTTCAACGGCAACCCGCAGCAACCGTCACTAAACGGTGTGCAGGCGTTCAACGGCAACTCGCAGCAACCGTCACTAAACGGTGTGCAGGCGTTCAACAGCAACCCGCAGCCACCGTCACTAAACGGTGTGCAGGCGTTCAACGGCAACCCGCAGCCACCGTCACTAAACGGTGTGCAGGCGTTCAACGGCAACCCGCAGCCACCGTCACTAAACGGTGTGCAGGCGCTTTCAACGGCAATAAGCCCGTGGAACCTACGGCTACTAAATAACATACAAGTAACTACCGAGTATTGACGGCCACATCATGTTAATAGTAAGTCCCTGTCATTTCAAATAGTAAGATAACATTGTTTTATGTATGTTCTGATCTTTTGCTTAAAAATTAAATTGAATATTTGATATGAATGCTAATCCTTTGCGATTGAATGAATGCAAATTAAATTGCGAATTATGCTATAACTTAGCGGCAAGAGCTGTAAATTGCGATTATATTCCTTATATATTATTGTGCTATGAAAATGTTTTAATTGACCTATTTATTTATCAATTTATTGATTAATATATTTAATTATATTTATAATTAAGTGAATGATTTACTATAAAGCGGCAAATTTTGGTTTATTTTGTAGAATATAGGTTCAAATTGTTGTTTGAATTTAGCAACTTTTCAGGTCAAAAGGTTTGATTATTGGCGCTATGAAACACAGGATGTGAGTACTTTAATATAAACAAATTTTATTATTTAATTATTTCAAAACAGAACCAAATAAATTTTAATGTAAGTTTTCTTTTTAAATCATAAAGTATTGAATAAATTATAAACAAAATTTTGCATGTTTTATTATCAAAACATTTTATTATATACTTTCCTGTATAATGTTTTAATTCTGATTTGCAATTTTATTTCCTTTAAATTAACAAACAAATTATTTCCGACTGATATTTAAATAACATGTTTTAAATAAAAACTTATATAACATGTTTAGTTTTTTAAATAATCGAAAGGGATAAAGTTTTCAGTTCATAAACAGCTATCATCGTCAACCAGTTGTCAATCAACAAGGAAGCAGAGCTTTGACTACTACACTAATACTTCTACTACACTGACAGAACCAAGTCCAACCGACAGCAATTACAGCTACGCAACCTAATCCAAGCGCAAATCTGCGAAAAGTGAACAATTTGCCGAAACACACCCTATTCACATGGCGAACGTAACGTTAGGTGCACAAGATTTAACCGAAATCTATAACATTGTTCAGAGTAATCAGAATAACAATGAACCGAAAACCAAGCAATTCGATGGTACCCAATCACAGGCTGTCGAGTGGATGGAAAATTTTGATTACCTCGTTACATCAATTGGATGGAATGAAGACAAGCGTAAGTCTAAATTAGGTACGTTTATGATCGGTGCCGCCAGAGATTGGTTTAATTTAACAGTCCATGGATCGAACCTAACGTGGGATCAGGTAAAAGCTGCATTTTATAATCAATTTCTTCCTGTAAACTAAGCAAGGCACATGAGAGGTCAATTCAGGCAAAGGAAACAAAAGTTATTCAAACCGAGCGCTAACTATATTTGTGCTATGAGAGGTATTTTGGTTAAGAGTAATACACAGATGACTTCTGAAGAAGCCATTGATAGCATATTGCTTAACATGCTTCCCGAAATTTCAGAAAAGGTAATATGTGTGCGACCGACTACTTTTGATCAATTGCAAGCAAATGCAAAATTAGCTGAACAAAGTTTGAAACAAGCGCAAGATCCAAGTACCACCACGGATGGTCAACTTATGCAATTGACACAATCAGTGAACTCTACGACTAGTGATCAAACAAGTATATCAGATTTAAACTCAAATCAGCAGAACAACCCGCAGAGAAATTTCAGGTATAATAATAATAATTCATACGATAGAAGTAGAAATGGACGATCGCCGAGATGCTTTTATTGCAGAATATATGGTTATATTCAAACAAATTGCCATCGCCGAAACCGTGACATGAATGACAATTCATATAGAGGTAATTGGAATTTTGATGATAATGATAACAGTTTCAATGGCCAGCGGAATTATCATCGAGACAATTGGAACTACAGAAGCAATCGCAATTACCAAGACTACCGCGAACCCAATAATGGACAGCGAAACAATATGGCCGCTATTGTCCAATCAGATGAAACTGAAGACAATATACAAGAGGTAAGATTATTAAATATGATTGGAAGTGTAACTTCCGGTTTTATAATTAATGTTAAAATTAACGGAAATGCAGTTGAAAGCATTCTTGATACAGGTGCCAGTAGTTGTTTTATAAGCGATGAATATGTGAAAGCCAATAACCTGTTACTGGATAAATGGACAGGTGATGGATATATGTTGGCAAATGGTAAAATGATTAAACCTACAGGTGTTACTAAAGTTATTCTTGAGATAATTATTAATGGTATATCAAAATCCGCTGAATTGTTTATTTATGTAATAAAGGGGCTAACAATGAATGTTGTTCTCGGGTACAACATTATTAGAAAAATGGGATTGATTATTAACGGGAAGGATAATTGTATCAGTTTTTGACAGACCGGTGAATCTGTTGAGCCAATTAATATGAGTGTTTCTCGAATCAGTATAATTTATGACAATTTCTCTCCAATATCATTTAGTATTTTACTTAATATATACATTTTACAACTCTTTTTAATAAATATTATTGAAATTCAGGCTATTAAAATTGTAACCGTTCCCAAGTTGCGACTTGTCGAGGTCGGAGATTTATCAGGGGCCCAAATTGATGGATATACCGATCCCGACAACTTGCTTGATACCTTTATTGATTATGGCTGTGCGCGAGCCAGTAATCATTTAATTCCGATTCAAAGAGATACTCGTATTAAATATTTGAAGAAGTTTGTATTTAATTGGGACCCCGGCTCAACAGTAATATTTGAATGGTCTTTTATTGACCTTGTTTTCCCCGTAGAGGTACCTGCATTTGTAATTAGTCCTCAGAAGAAGGACATTGTTATTGTTGTAAATGCTCTGAAAATCGCGCGTCTAACTTTGAAAGTTAGTGAATTTTGTACACATGTGTTGAGAAATTGGGGAAAAATGATGTATTATAAGGGGATACACGTCGACGTGTTATACATTGAAGTTGTTGTTAAATTGAATATCCCCACAAATATAAATGATGAAAATATTGAAAGGTATGATGAAGCGCTTATTGAATCCCCACATTATTTAATTAAGAGATGTTTAAGAATAATTTTGAAAACAGAGCAACTGACAGCGTTGAGACGCTGGTCAAATCCCGATTAAGTCCATCAATCGTAACCCAATATGTTTTAATATATGAAATTGAATTGTTAATTGACGGAATCATTGAAAAGCGGTATTATAATTTTAAATTATAAAGGATTTGTAAGAAAGAAATACGTTCTTTTATTTGGTCTTACGTGACCGCATTCGTTTATTGACATAATAAATGTCAATTATAATTTAAGGTAAAATGAATATGATACAAAAATAGGTTTAGTTTATTAATTATTAATACAGTAATAAAAAGGCCACAGAATTCAATATTTATTATAATATTGATTTGTATGGCTTGAATATGGGATCGTTATTGATTCAGGTAATAGATTTTCACCTGATAAATATAACGTTGAATGAATGTTGAAATTATGTGAAAAATGAGAAATAATGAAATTGTTGAGAAGATTCAATGTTTTAATGAGAGAAGTGTTTTTTAATGTGTCTTGTCTGTTCTTGTCTATAAAATGTGATGTACTTGTCTTAATTAAACTTATTTTTGTTTTTAATTAATTTTTATTATAGTTGTACTTAGTATTACTTTAAGATATGAATAACTATATTTAATGTTACGTTTAATGTTTAATTATTATAATAGATTTAATTATACATAGATTATAAATGTTTATACTAATGATTACACAAACAATTACATAAAATTAATGCTTATTAAAAAAAACTAACAATTAACCTAACGTGTAAAAGTTAAATTGGAATCACATATGTTAAGACCAAACAGCGGTGGCAAAGGCCGACGATAGCAATGCCTGTAAACAAACTTCTCCTGATCATTTCAACTTGACGGAAGCGGAGCAGTTATAATCAAATAGTATTCCTCAGGCATTCTTTGGAATTAATCCAATGGCTCACGATATCACATGCATACGTCTCACGATACGATACAAGAATGAGCTACAAAAGAGTCACTCAAGAGATTTGAAGATGTCCGTTATTTAACGCTAAAACCTTAGAACACATTGGTTCCGCAGACAGTTTATAAGTTTCAAATGGTATCGTTAGGAGACAATAAAGCGCCAGACAACAGGCACCTTGTCTTCAGACAATGGTTACTCAACCATCTGAAAGTGATCGTCACCAAAGCCACACGGACAGGGAGACACACATGACTAAGAGCACGACTTCACAGCGAAATGGTACGTCGTTACGTGAAATAACTTGTTAACGCGATTTAAGCCGAGCGACACAGACATCGCCATGCGTGCCGTCACCGCACAGTGATCTCCATTAAGTTTTGAACTAAGATTTTATTTTATGCTTATAAAACATAATTGTTATATTGTATTTGTGCTTAATATGCCTATATATGCTTATTTTATTAATTACTTATTATTAATTGTTACCAATTTATGTTAATATTTAAAAATTATTTGCAATAATTTTTACTTAAAGCAGAGGAAGATTTGTAGAGATCAAAGTCTATGACTAGATATTGTTTGACTAAAATATGCAAATGTTGACTAGTATTTTATATAAACATAATGTATTGAGTATTAATTGTTATGATTGACTAGTGATGAAATGTATCGAATGTTATGTAATGTTTATATCACGGGATTCTATCACATTCTATATTAAATTCCTAAGCTTTAACACAGAAATATGTTATTACATATATATCACAGATAATGTATTTTACTATCACTTGAGTATTGGTCGCCGGCATTAACGCCTGGCTTTGACTATGAATTTATCACAGAGTTTTGCTTATAGTGTATTCTAATGACTAGTGCTAATTATCACAGTTTGTAATGCTTTTGCTTTTGATTCAAATAAAACTTTATTTAAAATATTAATTGTTAATTGTGTGATTGTGTGAGAGTTACCTGACCAGACCCGAACCTTAGAGACCATTCGGGTCTCTACACTATTAAAGGCAAGTATTAAGCGGTGGCGAGTGATGGAGCAAAACGACATGATATACGTCTGGCATCACACAAGCGATGCAGAGCCCGACCACTGCCTCCCAGACCTGTCCAAGAAGTACAACATTCCCAACCTTACAGTACTCTCCAATTACACCTACAAGTTATACACATCATCACAGGTACATTTCACTTATGGCAATGTAAACCCTGTATTACATTAACATATTTACATATAAAGTACAGTACTGCATATAACTTTATAAACTTGATTAAAAATCTTAGGCTATTAATAATAGCATAAGTACTTAATTTATAATGTTAAAAAATTATAATTAATATTTACCGTCTATAATCAAAGTTGATAAATTAAATACAAATTATTAACCTTAGAAGCTTAAACTGGGAGATTAGTTTTCCATTTGCACTTTGAATTTCAATTAAAATTCTACGAAGAGTGCTAGCTAGAAAAAAATCCAGTAATGCCTTATAAATAGTTAGATTTTTAAATATGTAAAGTTGTATAATTATAAATTATATGATTAATTAATTATCATGGTTTAATTAAAGTTTTGGTAATTATTCTCCCAGTTTATGCGCACTGCAACTTTTTACCTGCAGTATAAACAGTGTTAATTTTATTGTGCGTTTATTGTGCAAACTGGGTGATTTATCTCCCAGCATTAAACTGCATAAACTGGGAGAATAGTCTCCCAGCATAAAACACACTAATGAATGGGATAATAATATCCCAGTTTATGCACAAACTACTGGGTGATTACCATCCCAGTTTATTTACAGCGTTCATAATTATAGTTTAAGCTCTAAGGGTTAAATTTATTTAATTGATAGCAAGTAATGTAAAGCCTAATCGACATGGAGCACAACCACTATGTGCATGCACATTTCATCAGGGGCGTGATGAGCACCAAGTTCATTATAACGGCGATGGCACTAGACTGACCAGATGAGTTTATGACAATTCTGGATTTGGGGTAAAAATCAGCCATATAATCCTGGATTCCTGGACATTTTTAATAATTTTAGCTTTATTATCGTGGACGCCTCTATAGACTTAATGTTTAAAATATTTGTAAAATTCTGGACAGGCCATCTAATTCCGGGACAATCCAGACCATTTCTAAACATTTGGTCAATCTAAATGGCACTGAAGACAACCCGATGGTCGTATTCATTGAGCTATATAATTTTAATTGCAAAACGACCACCATGCATCTGGAGCAAAGAGCGTGCACACCCGCATACGCCGAGTCCCACATCAAATACATCGGTATACCAGAGGTTACGCCCGCGATGTTAATCGTGTCGGGTATCAGTTTGGCGCCCGAAAGGATGCTCTTCACCACCCGATTCCTGGGCACTCCTACCCTATGGAATCAAATTGTATTATGGTTATTTCACCGCATGTTATAATAAAGTATTGTTTTAATATTATATAAATATAAAGTTATCTGATCATCGTTCATATCAGATCCATTAAATAAGTTATTCGACAAAATGTTTAGAACAATAAACCGATAATATATCAAAACATTTTATTATTATGTGAACTTTCTTTAATTTAATTTAGTAAAATGCATAATTAATTTAAGGGTGCAACTTTGTCTTTAGTAATAGGTGTACAATTGTCTTTAGTAGACAATATAGAAATTAAGACATTTTACTATTATTTACTAACTATTACTTAATGCAAACATTCATAGAGAGCTAACTAATTTGATTTAAATTGTGCTCTATTTTTTAGAAATAATTCTTACATTTGATGCAGAGTTTTATTATATGGTGTTTGCTTTATAATTATTAAATATTACATATGGTATACCATATTGGTTTAAAAATAGTGTGATAATAAAAAATGTATAAATCATTATCATAGTTTCTTAATCTGGTTGATGATGATGGATGTAACAAGGTAAGGTTCTCTCTCTCTCTCTCTCTCTCTCTCTCTCTCTCTCTCCATATTATCTCTAATGTAGTTATTTATTAATTTTAATATTTATACCTAATTTTTTAAATTTTTATTTCATAATGATTTAAATATAGTTTTTTAGAACTCATTAAAGGCATTGGTGTGAGCGGTATATTAATTGGCATGGTCATTTATTATATAGCACGTTTCTATACCAATCGCTATAATTACCCACCGGGTCCATTTCCATTGCCACTAATTGGAAACGTCCTCAGTAAATTATTAAATACTTTTATTTTTAATAATTATGAATATTAATTTATAACGTTTAATTAAAGTAATTACATTAGTTGCAAAAATTTGTAATTTATAAATAAAATTTTTCAGTGTTTCGTAAATACAAAAAGCACTTTGCGGTGGAAATTATAAAAGTAAGCAAGGTCTATGGACCAGTGTTCACCCTGTGGATTGGACCATTGCCATTTGTGTTTATATGCGACCTGGATATGGCTCGGCAGTCATTTAACAAGATTGATTTTTCCGGACGCCCTCGATCGCAATTCGGTAATTAATTAATTAACTGCTTATTCATTAAATGCCAATAATTAAACTAATAGTAAAATTCAACAATTATTCAAAAATATTATTAAATAATTTGTATAACTTGATAAATATTAATATTTATAAACATCATTAAACATGGTAATAATGGCATTATTCTATATTTATTAAAGTCAGTATCTATTGTAATGAGAGGCATAAAGACGTTATTTTCGACGATTACAGTAAGTGTTGGGAAAGTCTACGCCGAGTATCGCATTCAGCAATACAGTAAGTATTAACTAAATTTACAATAATAAACAAAATAGTGCATGCTCACATTAATGCATTAATACTATTTTTATAAAGAATATTGTTATGTTTCCATTAGCATCTTATAAGATACCTTATAATAAAATGCAACACTTAATAAATGATATATAATATAGCGCATATTATATGCTACTAACGTAGGCATTTCTAATATAATTATTTTAAATATTCACACTTAATAACAACAATCAATAATATTAATCGATAATAACATTAAAAAATTAAGTATTAATTATTTACTTATCGGAAAATAACTGCTAAAAACAATACGAAATATAATTTTTCCAGAAAATACGCTAAAACAAAGGCATTGTCTGAATTGGTGGACCACAACGTATATCAAATGGTCCGACGGATTAAAGCCGATAATGAGGGTATGAGTCGACCGTTTTCGTCGCACGACTACGTCTATGATGTGTTTGCAAATATTTTAGCCTCAATTGTGTTTAGCGAAAAGTAAATAACATTAATACATAATAATTAAACTGTACAGTATATTTATAACTAGATGATGTAACAATTAATATTGCAATGGTGTATTAATTATAGATTGGACAGTGATCAGGCTGAATTAAAAATGCTGAAATACGTCACGTCTGACTTTCTACCTGATCTTGGTAACACATTATTTCTATACGAGTTTATTCCTGTGTTACGCTATTTTATGGCCAACCCTTTGATTAAATATAAGCAATATTTTCATAATCTCATGGATTATACGCGAAATATGTACCAAAAACACGACCAAACATATGATGGGAATTATTTGAGAGACTTTTGCGATATACATATCGCCGCCAAACACGAGGCCATAGCTGATGACAAACGGACGGCACCCTATTTTACCGATGATAACCTGCCCGTCGTTTTGATTGAACTCATTATTGGTATTTATAATTTTTGATAGAAAATTTCAGTAGTTTTTATACATACCGTAAGCCTGGCCGAAGGCTGATAGCTTTGATCTGCAGTTTTTCCCTCAATACACCGTCTATTGGGGAGTGCATAGACATACACTATAACCTCAGTAGACATGCTGTTTTATAATTAAAACTTTGAAATGTATGCCTGGCCGAAGGCTGATAGCTTTGATCTGCAGTTTTTCCCTCAATACACCGTCTATTGGGGAGTGCATAGACATACACTATAACCTCAGTAGACATGCTGTTTTATAATTAAAACTTTGAAATGTAAAAAAATGTTTTTATACAGCTGGAGATAGTTGAGACTAGTAACAACACGTAAAAAATAAAAGGATAAAGTTCAGTGTTAATTGGTAAAATACGGAAAAGGACTATGCCCAATCGTGTGATGGGATGCACTTGGGAATTATTGTTATAAAATGAAAATACATTCAATAAGTAGTCGAGTGACATATATTATAATGTCCAGATGCTTTCGGGTCTGGCCGTAGTGACTACTTTTATAGGTAAAATTTTGAAAATCAAATCTTTTATTTTATAAATAAGTTTAACATATTATATAGCGATAGAAAGGTATGAATGAAAGGAATCGAAATCTAAAGGAATTTCCCAAATCTGACATAATCGGTAAAGGTTATATTAAAATTAAGAAATTTAGTAACAGTTATGCGAGTGTTTTATGGTGAATAACGTAATTACTGTACATCATTTTTATCAATTTCAATTATGCATACAATGATAATTAATTTCACAAATTAAAAAAATTAAAATGTTCTAATAAAAAAGGAGTTTGCGCAAGAATAACTGAGCAAATGTCAAAAATTGTGCATTAAAAATGTTGATCAATTTTTATTTCAGTAATTTAATCATTTCTGTAAGTGCAATTAAAATTGATGTGAGTGGAGTAAAATAATAGACGCTACTCATCATTAAAAAACGTATTCAATTGTCACAAAATTTCTTATTTTTGAAATAACATTTTTTAATTAATTCCGAATTTTATAATTTTTTAGAATATACCTTTCATCCATACCTTTCTATTTATCTAATACAATATGATTTATTTATTTATAAAATAAAAGATTTGATTTTCAAAATTTTACCAATAAAAGTGGTCACTACGGCCAGACCCGAAAGCATCTGGACATTATATTATATGTCACTCGACTACTTATTGAATGTATTTTTATTTTATAACAATAATTCCCAAGTGCATCCCATCACACGATTGGGCATAGTCCTTTTCCGTATTTTACCAATTAACACTGAACTTTATCCTTTTATTTTTTTACGTGTTGTTACTAGTCTTAACTATCTCCAGCTGTATAAAAACATTTTTTTACATTTCAAAGTTTTAATTATAAAACAGCATGTCTACTGAGGTTATAGTGTATGTCTATGCACTCCCCAATAGACGGTGTATTGAGGGAAAAACTGCAGATCAAAGCTATCAGCCTTCGGCCAGGCGTAGGGTATAATGTTCATTATCAACACATATTTGTAATTTTGCCTCTTTATAAAAACATATACTGTACATAAATATCTAGGAAAATATATGTAAAATAGATAGATTGTTTTTTAGTTTTAAATTAATTAATGTTTGGTACCGGAATTATTTTACCAACTAAACAAACAGCTGGCACTGCAACAAGCGTGAAAACATTTCAATGGATGATATTGTATTTAGCCTATTACCCGAATTACCAGGATAAGCTGCGCACAGAGATTAGCCGAGAGATTGGCGATCGGGTGCCGGTAGTAGAGGACAAGTGCCGTTTAAACTACACGATGGCCTTTATATCGGAAATGTTACGGCACAGAAATCCCACACCAATTGGAATATTTCATAAGACCATGGTGAACACCAAATTGGGTTTGAATTATTAAATAAAATTTATATATACTGTGCAACGGGTCTATGACACTTGTTTAAAAGACACTTGTTCGAAAAATTTAAATTATATTAAATAATTATTAATTAAACCTAACCCAACCTAACCTAACTTAAACTTACCCACACTAACTTACATTAACATAATTAATCATATTAATTAGATTTTTAACCACAATTCAGATATGAATAATGTGGTTTATAAAATCGTTAGGCCCCCCTTCCCCATGGGTGATTTGTAAAGGGATAAATTCAGCACACAATAGAAAAAGAATTACTAAAATCTGATCAATAGTATAGATTTTATGGCTCAATAAAGGCATTCTTTTCGTAATGCTAATCCTATGAGAAAATTTTAAGTTCTATGGGATTTAACATGGAATTCCAGCTTAAGTCTATGGCTATACTTTAACATGGGTAATGCTAATCCTATGGAGCTTTTTCCATAGACTTAACACGAGCTAATGTTATCCTATGGGTAATGTTAATCCTATGGGAAACTATTTTCCTATGGAAAAGCGAAATATGAAGGGAAAGGGTAGTTTTTCTCCATGTTAATTCTATGGGACTAATGATAAGTTTATGGAAGAATGCTTTAACATGAGTTTCTATGGGATTACAGCTTATCTCTATGATATAGGTTTAACATGGGCAATACTATTTATATATGACTAATGCTAAGTCTATAGCAATGATAAGTCTATGGCATAGGAATAACATGGACAATGCTAAGTCTATGGCAATGCTAAGTCTATGGCAATGATAAGTCTATGTATTAATGTTAAGTTTATAGGATAATACTTATTCTGTGGACATACACTAAACGAATCTGACAAATTAATCAAATAAATTGTGGTAAAAAACATTTAAAATTTTCAAAATAACAATAGTGAAAGTATTCCAACAATAGCATTGAAAAATTTAAAATCTTTAATGAATTTCCCGAATTGTGGTTAACGTATAGCATCGCTGTGTGATCCTTGTTTAAATCAATTTTACCCTTATCAATTTTTACTAAATTATTGTGTTTAAACCAAATTAAAGTTAATTTTTTCGAACAAGTGTCTGCATTCCCTGTGCATAGTGTTCCCAGAAGCTCCCGGAATGGCAGTAGTCTCCAGGAATTGAGGTCTACCTCCTGTCTCCCGGCGAGGGTCTTACCTTGATATGGGCAGCTCACGGATTTTAACGTTCAATTAAATTGCATATTTTATGCAAAATATAAATATAAATAATTTTGATGATGATTAAATAAGTATCAGATTAACAGATTGTTAATGTTTATGTTTACCATAAAATATTAACTCCGTAATCTGGCTGAAAAATATAAATAAATGTGGCTATTTGAGGCAGTTATGGCCTCTAAGAAGCAATTATAAACTTGTAATACAATATAAATTACAATTTATATATTGCTTTAATAGTTTAAATAATCATTTTCTCTTAAAAACGTATCAAGAAAACACTCAATGAATTTTTAATAAAATCTCAAGAAAAATATAACTCAAAAGTACATTTCTCAAGGAAATTGAAATATTTACCTGGGAACGCTACCTGTGCAACATAAGGGGTCGGTCAAGTGATTCCAATCGTGCGGTTTTCTTGATATCTCTTAAACTAGATGAGGTAATTTAATTCTGTAAAGAGCATTCAATACAGCCATATACGCGGGATTTTTTAAATAGCCGGTCAATATATCTTGGTCACGTGGTATACAAAATATGGGACGATTCAGAATGGTTATATTACAGGTCATACTATAAGAAATATAGAGATGGTCCCCATGGGTAATTTGTAAAGAAATAAATTCTGCACACAATAGAAAAAGAATTACTAAAATCTGATCAATAATATAAATTTTATGGCTCAATAAAGGCAGTCTTTTCGTAATGCTAATCCTGTGAGAAAATTTCAAGTAAGAAATATTGAGATGGTCCCAATACAAAATAGTTAGGGCAACTAATTATGTACAATATAAAACAAGGATCACACAGCGATGCTATACGTTAACCACTATTCGGGTGATTCTCAAAGAATTGATTAGCATTATACACACATCCAATAAGAGTCCATAGGATTAGCACTCCCCCATAGACTTAGCATTACTCATAGACTTAGCATTACCCATAGACTTAGCATTACCCATAGATTTAGCATTACCCATGTTATTCCTATGACATAGACTTAGCATTACCCATGTTATTCCTATGCCATAGACTTAGCATTACTCATAGACTTAGCATTACCGATAGACTTAGCATTGCCCATGTTATCCCTATGTCATAGACTTAGCATTACCCATAAACTTAGCATTGCCATAGACTTAGCATTACCCATGATAATCCTATGCCATAGACTTAGCATTACCCATGTTAAAGTATAACCATATGACTTAGCATTACCCATGTTAAAGTATAGCCATAGACTTATGCTGTAATCCCATGTTAATTGCCCATAGACTCAAGAATCCCATGTTAAAGTATAGCCTTAGACTTAAGCTGTAATCCCATGTTAAATCCCATAGAGCGGGGGGAGGGGGAGGGGCAGCCGAACGATCCTATAAACCACATTATTCCTATCAGAATAGTGGTTAAAATAAATTATCAAAATCTGACATGTATTTTAGTTTTTATCAACAAAAGAGTGATTGTCTTTATAAACGACATATCTCATAAATATATTTTTATTTATTTTACAAACAGATTATAATAAAAAATAAACATACTAATTACTAATAAATTTTATAATTTTCATTAAATCCAATACTATTCAAAATATTTTATTTTGAACATTTTAGAAAAATTCATATTATTATAAAATACCATCACTCTTTTGTTGATAAAACCTAAAATACATGTCAGATTTTGATAATTCTCTTCCTAACTGAATTGGGACCATTTCAATATTTCTTACTTAAAATTTTCTCATAGGATTAGCATTACGAAAAGACTGCCTTTATTGAGCCATAAAATCTATACTATTGATCAGATTTTAGTAATTCTTTTTCTATTGTGTGCTGAATTTATCCCTTTACAAATCACCCATGGGGACCATCTCTATATTTCTTATAGTATGACCTGTAATATGACCATTCCGAATCGTTCTATATTTTGTATACCACGTGACCAAGATATATTGACCGGCTATTCAAAAGATCCCGCGTATATGGCTGTATTGAATGCTCTTTACAGAATTAAATTACCTCATCTAGTTTAAGAGATATCAAGAAAACCGCACGATTGGAATCACTTGACCGACCCCTTATATACTGATTTTTATACTCATTTTAAACACTATCCAAACAACAAATTTTAATTTCAGCTGGTCACATTATACCTGAAAACACCAATGTCGTATTGAATCAATACTGCATTCTGACCGATCCAAAGCATTGGGACAAAGCCGATGAATTTGATCCAGAAAGATTTCTAAATAATGATGGTGAATTTTTGCGTACAAAACCCGTGGCTTATATACCGTTCAGTTACGGTCGTCGTATATGTCCCGGCCAAACGTTGGCTATTAATAACATATTATTGATCCTGGTCAGATTACTGCAGTTAACAAGCGAGTATCGCATTAAGCTTTATAACGAGCATGGTGGTGGCCAACCCGATCCTGGTCAGCTCGAACCACACGCCGTTAATGTTTGGCTCCAGTTTCCCAAACCGTTTCAAATTGTGTTTGTTTCTAAATAATGCAATCAATGCAACTAGTTTAAATTGCATAATACAATATTATCGCAAAAGTATAAATCTTTTTACAAATCAAAAATTATTTATTATAAATAACTTATTATATTAAATGTTTAAAACTATTAAATGTTGAGTGATTAAAAACTAATAATAACCTATTTAGTAATTTGTTATTGTAACACTATAATTATCTTATTACATTATGCTTTATGAGTCAGTAATGAAAAGTCAGGTGAATACAAATTAAATTTTAATAATAGACATTATTTTCATTTGTTGTAATAATAAAATAGTAATAAATAAATAATATTATTATTTAAAACTGTCATTTATAATTATTTTACTTTTAAATAATTTTAACTAAATTTACAAATTCATTATATTGCTGTGAGAGCCGTATGTCCGCCTAGTTTTCTGAGCGGCTGGCTATGCCTTTCACCAATTGATTGGCGGCCGCCGCTCATCGACTCGTTGGCCATACAGCTCTCGTTCGGCGGTCGTGCCGAACCCCATCCACGGCTATAATAAATAAATATGAATTAATTAAATAAATATAAAATAATAAATAATTAAATAATAGTTACATTAAATGTTAAACACATACACAAACAACACATACAAACACATAATGAAAATGAAAAAAAATGATAAGAAAAGAAAAAATGAAAAGTAATGATAAAAATGAATGTTAGAAATGAAAAGATAAGAGTGGAAGGTAATGTAAGACAAAAGTATAGATTATTAATAAGAAGTGAAAAGTTATAGATAAGGAGAAATGAAATGAAAATGCAAAGTAAGTGAAAAGTTTAAAGAGAAAAGATGTTAAGAGATAAATGCATAAAATGAATGGAAATTAAAGGAATGTATGAATTAAATAAAATACATAACAAATAAATAATTAACTAATAAACTAAACACAAACAAATACTTACAAGTAAAACTATATATAAGGGACACACAAATACAACACAAACAAATAAGAATAAAATGATGAAATAATGACCTGTAAAGGGTGACAAAACACAATGATAAGATAGTAAAGAAAAATATAAAAAGTTAATGAAAAATAGTTGAATAGGAAAGATAATGAGTAGAAAATAAATAAACAAGGATCACACAGCTATGCTATATGTTAACCACTATTCGGGTGATTCTCAAAGAATATATAAGTCTTTACATTGCGTTTAATTAGTGTATTTTAAAAAAATTTAAAGAATTGTGAAATGAATATCATTTTTCAAAATTTTTCAAAATTTTTCATTGTTATTTTAATCGATTGTTTGTATTTTAAAAATCTACTA